GTGACTGACTTATTTCGCTCAGCATAATGTCCTCCAAGTTCATCCACGTTATGCGGTGTTTTGCAGATTCTACATTATTCTTTAGCGAGCAACTGAACACTTAACTGCTTCACCATCAATGCTTCTTGAAGGGATAATGGATGGAAGTGTTTCCCTCTCACTAATGCTGTCTGAAAGGAGCTCTGGTAGCATAGTGCCTAAGGCATTTAACTGCTAACCAGAAGGTTGGCGGTTCAAACCCTTCAGCCACTCCATGGAAGAAAGACTGGGCTATCTACTTCGGTAAAGATTTACTGCCTTGGAAACCCAAAGGGGGTTGCTGTGAGTTGGAATCAACCCGATGGCCATAAGTTTGGTTTTGGTTTTAGTTTTGGATGCTGTGTTAACTGCTCAACTGCTAACTGAAAGGTCAGCAGTTTGAACCCACCAGTTGCTCCATGGGAGAAAAATGTGTTGGTCCACTTCCATAAACACTACAGCCTTTAAAAAAAAAAAAAGATTACCACTTTGGAAACCCCATAGGGCAGTTCTCTGTCTCATGGGGTCACTATGAATTGAAACTGGCTCAGTGGCAATGGGTTTGTTTTTTGGGTTGGATGCTGTCTATCTCCCAAGAGGTAGGAGATACCAGGGAAATAGCAGGGTGGAGGAGGCTGTCCAGGGGCCCTGGTCTGGGTCTAACACTCTCCTTTGCCTCCTACAGGAAGCCTGGAAGCATGCAATCGAGAAGGCCAAGCACATGCCTGACCCTTGGGCTGAGTTCCACCTTGAGGACATCGCCACAGAACGTGCCACACGTCACAGGTCAGCAGCTGATCTGGTGGGGGGTTATATGGCACCAGGCTCTGAGAAGTCCTTGCGGTTGTGGGTCCTGATGCTTCTCACTTCTCTACCTTGTGTTCTTGACTCGGTAGATGTCAGCTAATCTATCAGGCCTAGGTACCTCTGGGGTCCAGGAGAGGGAATAATAAAAGTAATAACTGTAGCCAATATTTCATTGTTTATGCATGCTTAAGGCACTGTGTGGTACAGACAGCAGAGGGAGGGAAGGAATTTTTCAGGGAGTTTCAGGAAGAAGAATGAAAAACAACAAAACCACAGAATACTACCACTAGCACAATAATGACTACAATGACGATGATGGTGGTTATGTTATTGTTGATCGGCTGGTAACCGAAGGGTTGGAGGTTCAAGTCTACCTGAGGCACCTGGGAAGAAAGGCCTCACAATTCTACTTTGAAAACATCAGCCATTGAAAACCCTGTGGGACACAGTTCTACTCTGACACATGGGGGTCCCCATGAATCTGAGTCAACTTGTCGGCAATGGCTTGAAGCTCTGTGCTTTGAATTATCTCGTTCCATCCTTTCCTGGCCCTGTAAGGTATGTGTTGGACACTCTAGACTGACATGTGCTACAGGAACAACTACGCCAGGAGCTCAGTGCAACAACTGTATTATATTTCTTACTCAGCAGTTGAGGGAGAGAAGCTCTCAGGGAAGCCCAGGCAACGAGAGCGCACGGAGGCACACAGCACACTGGCTTTTAAATGCCTTGGCCCAGAAAAGGGCATTACTTCTGCACACATTTCATTGGCTAGATCTGGTCACATGGCCCCGCCTCATTACAGAGGGATGAGAAGTGTACCCTTTTCATGTGCCTGGAAAGGAGGAGTGGGTGTGGGTGCTGAAACAGGCCCAGAGAGGTTGAGTAACTTGATTATGGAGAAAGAGCAAGTTGATGGAGGAACCTGGGTTCACACCCTGGAGGGCTCACTGCAGCGATCTGGGCCTTTAAGTCCTGCCCTCTCACCAACTTGTGCAGGTCAGTCTCTCCCAGGGTGTGGCTCTTGGTCTTTGGGACAGTGTGTGCCCCAGAGTGCGTACTTCTCAGTGAAGTGCCATGGTACACTGAGGTTTTGTTAAGAACTGAGCATAGTAGAGAAGTAGGGGACATGGTCCACTTCCTTTTAATCTTGGCTCAAGGCTACCAGACAGTTTAAATAAAAAAAACAAACAGTTGCCACTAAGTCATTTTAGACTCACATGCATCAGAATAGAACTGTTTTCCGTTTGCTTTCGATGGCAAAGTTTCTTCTGTTAGGAGCTCCGTCACTGGGTCCGTAAATATTTACTATGGTTATTTT